TTTGTTTGTTTTTTGTCCGTGCCCGGGAAATGATCCATCACTATTCTATTAAATGTAGAATTACTGAGCAGTTTAATATAAGAGGAACCGCTGGCTGTGAAGAAGAGTTGTTTGTGTAGCTGAGTGTTTATTGGATCTGTATAATATAAAAATGTATTTAAACCCTTTTCATTCATTAGCATCACAACGCTGCACCCTTTATTTTGCAGAATTTTTGTTAATTAATTTTGCTTTTCTTATTTAGCAACATATTGTGTCCCCCCTCTGGAGAAAGAAACTTTACAAGTAGAGCCTTTTTAGTCAAGTTACCTAAATCGGGGATGTCAAATTCATTTTATGCTGTGGGCCAGTAAAAAAAAAAAAAAAAGAACCAGACCAGTAAAAACATTTAAGTAAACATTTAGTCCCTGACATTCAACGCTACATGATCGTTTTTCTACATGATAAATGTGTAAAATTGCAGAAAAAGTGGTAGCACGTTGCCCAGACTGTCCTGTATTTATAAAACGTAAAGGTTTTGTTAATTACTCTTTTGTTAAACTGTGGACCCACGTTTTCTTTTTTTTTTCTTTTTTTTTTTTAAAGACATTTCTACAGTTGATAGTGTAAAAACAGGAATCTGTTACTTAACTGCTTTGGTGTGGTATGAATGGGGGAGGTCTGTGTGAGTCAAAAAAGCTGTAAAACCTATGAAAATACAGTTAAAATTTCCAAATCTATGCAATCTTTTCCAAAGCCGTCCATTGAAGTCTTTGCCGGGCCCATTATGGTCCTCAGGCCTTATGTTTGACACCCCGACCTCGAGCTCCAATTGGTCCTGTGGATTTTAAATGAAAGCCGCCAGTTTGTCCACAGACTGCTGAACAGCGCTGTATTGTATAAATAACTAATGTATCTCCTTAAGGATTAGAAGGCAGTGTTAATCTTTATTTTAATGTGGCACACATGTAACTTTTAATATCACTCTTTTTTTTTTAAACATTAATATGCTGTAATAAAGATATTCAGTGGATTTCATGTTGTAACTTACATTGCGTACCAGTGCCACAGACTTTTACCCAAAGCAAAGAGTTTCATGGCCTATTACTTGAAATTAAATTCAGTTTAGAAATGCTTGAAAATATTTTGACTAATTTTATTAGTCTTTTTTGGTAAGTTGACAAGAAACAACAGATTAAAAACACTTCCACAGAAACAGACAAAGTATAAAGGACTGAAGTCAAATTGTGTTGAAATGTCTGTTGGTATTTACATCATACTTTAAGTCCCCTTTGAGGCGCTTTTACTGGTAAACACAAAGCAAAACAAAAAGTAACGCATGGTTACAGCTACAGTTTAACCAGCACAAGGGTACTTTACTGGCTTCTTATTTACATTTCCACGCAGATGCCTGTTCAAAGAGGACGTGACTGATTTTAAAACATGGCTTTAATTATGATTGGGCGACTGTTTCACTTGTTGACTTTTCAGAATCCCCTGTGAATCCGACACTTGAACAAGCAGGTTTCATTCAACTGAACAGTGTTTTGTTTTTTTCCCCATGTTTTTAAATTTGTTTAAAAAGTTACAAACTTTCTCCTTTTCCCCCCCGAGCTCCCCTTTCACTTCCTCCTCATCACACTGTCATGTTTTGCCAATGTTTGCTTCCTCATGATCATTTTTTTCCAGCTTGTGTTCTTTTCAAAACCTCCACTTTAATAAAGCGCATGCCCTGCAAATCCAGAAAACCGAACATGTGTCAGACTGATATTCTTTTCTGCCAATAAAATGTTGCTTTCTTGTGCAGTTTTTGATTAAGGGTTTTGAAAAGAGAGCCCAGTGCATGCTTAGCCTTATTGTTATTGCCTGTTTGCAAGTATTTGTCAGTTAGTGAAGTTTAGAAATCGACCCTGAGCGCTCAGTTGGTGCAGTTTGAGTCTTCTCCAGTATCAGAGTCAAATCTAAAAATAGACACATACTACACAGGCATATTTTTAGCGTCTGCGTGAATTAAATTTTCCATCAAAATGTCAATGCCGCTTACTAATAGTCATGTAGGGAAAAAAAAGTACATCCCTGGTAACTGTTGTCTCTGTTTTTGACATATTTGGACATTTTATTTTTGATACAGCACCTACAGCACAGATAAAGATGATATATGTGAACCATACAGCAGGGAAATTGAGGTGGGTTTTTTTTTTTAAGTAATTCATTAAATATTTTATCCTGTGCATCTGAACTTGTATTGCCCACCTTTTCAGACAGCACTGGGCTTCTTGCACATTAGCTACAGGAGCTGCGTCATGCCCTGAAGCTCCCGGCACACAACTCTTCTGCTGATGTAAATGCCGCAGGAGGTTTGGAGCTCTGCAGTTAGTGAGTCAGCAGAGAGTTGGTGACTTTTCTGTGATTTTTGCACCTCAGTCCTCAGCAGACCCGTGCTCTTTGACTTTGCGTGGTCTGCCACTTCATGGTTGAGTTGCTGTGGTTCCTAAATGCTTCCACTTTTTAGTAACACGACTTATAGTCAATTGCAGAGTATCTAGGAGGGAAGAAATTGCACTGACCTGTTGCCTTAGAGCATCACCCTTGAATTCAGTATGGTCTTTAGAAAAACTCATTCATTTTTGACAGATGTTTGTAAAGGCAGACTGATCGGCTGGGTTTTTGATTTTCTTTATCTGAGGTGATGGGACTGAAAAGAGCAGAATTAAAATAGCAAAGTCTTTAAATATTTCATCACCTATCTATAATATCATCTAAAAACTGGAGAAATCTTTTATGCACAAAGAGTCCTGCAGGATTTGGAGCAACACCAGTTTTTACGCAGCTAGGATCTTACGTATATCAGACAAGAACCAGAAAGAGCCCAGTAGCTGGTGTGCTCGCTTCCAGATGTTGACAGAAGAGGGGATGTTGTTGCCATCAAATTCAAAATGAGCTCATGTTTTTTATGCAACAATAAAATGTCTGTTTAAACATTTAATATTTTTTATGCTCTATGATGAATTTAAAAAAAATGAGTTAATGAGATTTACAAAGTCACCGCATTCTGTATTTATTTAAATTTCACACAGTGTTGCAGATTTTTTAGAATTCAGTTTGTATATTTAGATATTTGACAGCAAAGAGTTTGGTTTGACACACCTGCTTGCACAGGCAACATTCGGGTGTTTTCAAATGAAATGAATTTCAACTATATATGTAGGTGATTTTCTTCAGTGTCGCAACTTTACTGTAGACTACATCTCTAAAACATTTAAACTAGAACAGTTCCTTGTTCCGTGGATTTTAAGTTGTGATAAGTAAGGGGGTTTACTTTTGTACGGTTTCAGTTTCGTGTCATTTGTTTAGCACTCACTCTTGGTCACCATCTAAGAAACAATACATGATAACTCTGGGACATGGGTGAGAACAAAAGCATCAACCAAAGTGTATCAGTTATAGCTGTGTGTAGGTTAGTGGATCAACAGTTACCGGCAATAACTAATTTCAGTTATTGGGGGGGCTCGAAAAAAATAAAAATAGGTCAAAAACATGGCACAGCTGCACTTGTTATGATATCATCTGGTGACCTCACAGCCTCTGACTTTGAAGATTAGATTAGAAAGTGCGTCACCATCTAAATACTTGAGAATCTAACCCAGGGGCTTTCAGAAGAAAGATTTTCATTCCTCACGTAGTCATCGATCACACGTGCGCCGTCCCTCTGGCAGGTTCTTTCCAACCACATTTATCTCAAGCATGATGAGGCATTTCCACAGCCTCAGTGTAGACCATCACTGGCATGTATAATGAGTCATTTTGTTTTCTTCTATCATACTAGTGGGGTTTCATTTTTGGTGAACATGCTTTGTGTGGTGAAGCTGATGTGACTGACATGAACCCTAAAAAGTGGCTGAAACATGGTTTAAATGGACTGGTTAAAATAAAAGGGTTACCGCTTTGAGTTGCAGTTCTGGTTTTATTTGTAATTCAGCACACTGACATGCTACACATTAACAGTCAACATTTTCAGTTTTCACCAATGTTAGCCTGAGGTACAAAGGCATTGCTGAGGCTGCTGGGAAGCAGAGTGGTCTTAAATTTCATAATCCAAGTGAAACATTTCACTCATTCTTAGGAATTTGTTCAGTGAGCTCAGTACCTTCAGATCTACAAGGTCTGAGTGGAAGAGGTTGTTATTAAACTGTCATACACTTACATCGGAAACTCTTTGGACCTCTATTAGAGCCTCACAGAAGTCAAAGGTGCAACAACAGCTGTGCACACTGCTTCTGCTGATTTGGGCATTCACCAAAGCAGGTTTTGTGTTTCTTTGCAAGGCAGGAAGGCCGGCATATGTTTTGCTAAACAGGCTACTTAAACTTGGTTTTATGTTCACACTCTGCCCTAAAATGAATAAAAGTTCACACATTTCCCATCATTTAAAGCGCCTCCTTGACGACAGAATGGGCTGACGAGCACTTTGGATATCAAACCTTTTATATGTGAAATAGCTGGAGTTCCCCTAGAACAACGTGAAGCAAGGAAAAACAGGTACACCACATCTATATTCACAACAAACACAGCACAACAAACACAGCTATGTTTCTTTGCTTTCGACCCTTCAGCGTGGTGCTTGGGTTTTTTTTCTTCTCGTTAGCGACCTTGCTAGTTTGCATCATCCGTTTGTTTTAGGAGAAGGCATCAGAGTTTTACATAAAAGGAATCACCTGCAGTGTTATTCCTGTGTGTGTGTGTGTGGGGGGGATTTTCACATTCACACGTGGTTATTTTAGAAAAAAAAGACAAATATAAGAAAACATGTGGTTAAAAAAAACCAACTTTTTTTTTTGTTTACAAGATATTTTTGACTTAAATTATCTGTGGTGCTTACACCCTTGTGCCTACATTTCACATGTTGCTACATCCAACAATTATTAATTTTTAATAATGAATTAATCCTGTTTAGGTTTAAACAGAATTAAAAAAACAAGTCATAAAGAAGAAGACAAAAATAAAACAAGGAAATAGTATTGTTATGCTTTAAATGAACTTTTAATTAAAATCAAATAGAATTTAGTGAAATTTTATCTTAAATGACACACACAAAAAATGGTTAAATTAATAATGTACCTATGGTCAAATGGTACTTTAGCATCCCTTAAAACACTTTATAAATAATCACCAGTCATCAAAGTCATGAAAGATTCAAAACTAACTTTATATGATTGAGTACAGTATGAGTACAACTGATCAGGCATTATAGTTAGCAGTAGCACTGACATAATACAATAAAGTGTGTACATATATATATTTATTTATATATTTGCTACTCTGTGTAACAGTAGATGCTTCAGGATTATTTAGTAATACAGTATTAAGGGATTATTTGAAACAGGCTACATATTTTATCATTGTCTTATCCCCTTTAGATTCATTTAAAATTTGATATAAAATGTTTACCAGATCGAGCCGTTTAAGTGACAAGTGCACGCACCACGACCTCATCAACACGAGAGCTTTTATAATCTAGTATTTTTGATTCCTTTCCATCAGCGCTTGTTTGGTTTTCATTGGTCGTTGTTTTCCTATACTGCATGAGAGCTAACGCAGGCTAAAACTAAACACATCTCCCATTTGTCTAAGTATGTGCCTTTAAAACTAAAACATTTTATTAGAACTAGTTAACTTTAATTATCTCGAGCCATAAATAAATAGTAACTGGAGATAATCTCACAGTGGTGGGAAAATCAAAACACACACAAAGCTAAAGAAGGTGTATTATATCTATTATGATATTAGGCTGCTTATAATATAAGAGATAAATTATCATCTACAAGATGCAATACAGATATAAGGAGGGTAACATCAGGATAACAGATGACTTCAGACCCTTTTTTCCTCAGAGAGCTTTTCTCAGCTCCCACCGCTGATTCACTGATTCACTGCAGATGGATCCTCGGAATGAGTGCAGATGTCACATCGCACGCCCTCAAGGTGTAATGACATCCTAATGATGATTTTAATGAGATAATATATAAATATAGTAACCTATATGATAATAACATTGTATTTTTGTCATATATATATATATATATTATTATTACTGTTATTATTAATATTATTATTAAAAAGATTCATTATTTGGTTTAGATTTTTGTTTCTGTGTTTTTGTATTTAAAAAAACAAAACAAAGCAAAACAAAACAGAGTTTTTTGGTGTTACTTCCACAGTACACCCTTATAAGCCTGTCAGGTCTACAATGGCTTTAATGAAAATTGTATCATCTCTGAGGTAAGGGCTCTTTCCGGCCAGTTTGGCCAGCGGGCAGAAGAGTGGGCAGCCGCTGGCGATGTTCATCTCACTGATCGGCCGCTGGAAGGACGAGGAGCTGACGTCCGGTCGGAAAGCATCGATGATGTGCTCCCTGTTGTTCTGATCCAAGAGCATCAGAGTCACCTGGCGGGGAAGAAAAAGAGTAGAGGAGTTGGTTTCGTGCCGCTCATCGAGAGTTTCGTGCGTCAATGTATTAAAACGGTTACCCACCTTCTGACTGAACGGCCACTTGAGCAGGGCGTCGCACTTTCCCCTCATGACGACGAAAAACAGCGAAAGGTGCGTTCCCCGGCCCGTCCCGTCACCATTCAAATACAACCTTAGACACATTTTGTAGCCATATTTGCTGGAGTAAAAAGCTGCGTGCAAAAACAAAACAAAAAAAAAAGAAGCGTCAGAAATGGAAACGGAGCCTAAAACAGCATCATGTGAAATCAGCAGAGCCATGCACGCTCCCTGAAGAACAACAAGGGTGTAGCGGCGTGGAATTCCCCTCCGTCTACACGCCAGAAGATAATGTCATGTGAACTGTATGACCTCAAAACAAAACAGAAAAATCCCTCTCACCTAAAAGCATACCACACGTGTACAACCGTGATGTTTTTCCATCCTACCTGGTGAGAACATTGCAGGCGCTCGACCAGCCACGGCATCCTGCCTTCGGCGCGAGAAGTCGGAGATTTTCCAGACGAATATTCCGTCGTAGGTGCAGAACTGGAGTTCGCGCACCAGCTGTTCGGTCTCAGACAGCTGCAAGTCTCTCATGGTCAGCGTCCTCTCCAGCTGTCGGACTTTGTTAGACAGATTTTCAATCTTCTCTTGGTCTAAGCGGTGTTGGTGTGCGAATGCTTCCATTGTAACAGAACTGCGCTCCACCTCCCGGTTCAGGACACACACGATGTTTTCTAAAGCGTTCACCTATTGGTGAAAGAAAAAAGAAGAAGCAACAAATGATTATTTTCTCATTTCACAAAATGAACAGAGTGGTTACAAGCGACATCAAATCTGTTGAGACTCACTTTTTTTTCCAGGTCAACAGACTGCACGGAGGTCGTGGGCCCGGCTCCCTCATTAGGATCCCTGTACAGGCCCACTCCGGAGTCCTCCTGCCACTCCCCGGCACCAGAGCCCTCTGAGCGAGCCCGAGTCGCTGACAGCACCAGAGGCAGCAGCAGACGCAAGTGCTCCATAGTACTGTTGACCTCGTGGTCACAGAGTTTCCCGTTCTCTACCTGACACAGAAACACGGGAGAGCTCGTCTAAGTTTTATTGAGACAAAGGTCAAACCAGTTAGTTTTAGTCCCAGGCGAGTGCTTGAGCTGTGGTGTCCAGTTTGTGCCTTCAGTAGGACAAATTTAGCTCTAGGTGTGGTGACTACCAAACTGGGCGAGTGGCTCCAGCAGATCCCAGGAACAACATTGGAGATCTATGTCCACAGAGTGCAGTCCTAGGAACAGTTAAGATGCTGCACAGGACCCTCAAGCTCCCAGGCCTCTGGTAGAGGACCCAAGCTTGAAGGATAGACCGCCCGCGAGAGCGAGCGGGGAATTTTTTTATATATTTTTAAACAGGTTTTACTTTTGAGTATTTACATGCAGTTTCTTTTGTTCTGTTGGCTCAATGAAAGTAAACCCAATTTAGATAAAGCTTAAAATAGCTCTAAGTATGTGTCTGGAGGCGTTTTAAGATGCCTGCTGAGTAGTGCTGATTGCTTCTAGAAGAACTGAAGAAACAGCCTTATCTAATCTTTTAGACGGCTTCCTGAGCAAACACCTCCTTAACTGCCACGATGGTTTGATTCAAAGGCTCCTAAACTCTCATTGGTGCTTGGGTATAATATCATATCACATCACATTTGCCAACCTGAGCTCAGCCAACTTTAAACTACTGACGAAAGCACAGAGCGCGAAATATCTCATGTGAAAGGGTCATGTGACTAACCTCAGGGAACACATTAGGAAGAAGGAGATGAGAAAATGCATTTAATAGCATTAAATCTGCTCTGCAATGAGACCAATTTATCCAGTGACCCCCACCAAAATCTTTTCTGTGTGCAACATATTCTAGCTTTCACGAGATAACGCACATCTATCTGTGCTCCAAATACAAAGCAGCTGGTGGGAGATGATTAGCCTTGTTTAGTTGGAAACTCCCTGGCTCTTTTGGAAGTTAAACCTCTAACAGTGGTTTTAGACTTCTGTGTTAAATCTACGCTCCTGAAACCCTATAATCAGTATAACTACACAGTCTGCACAGGTATAAATACTGGAAACAGTGTGTGCCGCTTACGTAGGCTACATCATACGCTCTACACAGATTCACGGCATACATCAGGAACAAAGCAGCCACTCATATCTTATGTTGATGTAAAACAGAAGAGTAAAAACACCAAACAGTGATGCTGTGACTTTAGCCAGGCCAGCTCCTTCATCTGATTTCAACTTCATAATTTACTTACAACAGGAAAAGTATAAGCCACATTACTACCTTACTGTACAGGACATACATTTAGACTCCTTATTAAACCACAAAAAAGTATCGAAATACTACAACGCAATGAGAAAAATGAGTTCGATCACACTGGTCAACCCTCTACGATAAAACATAAGACAGGAGTTTAGTGATTATGTAACTGCACCTACCATAGACTTGCAGCCCACTTCACTGAATGGACACGTGCTCTTTGACTTGGCGCAAGACTTCACATGATCATTGAACTGAAAGGCAGAATGAACAAAGAGAAAAGACCATTTATAAACAGTGCATCAACAGGAAAGTGGAAGTGAAGGACTCCTAGTCAAAAAGAAACTAAGTATCATAAGGAGACTGCCCTAAAACCACTTAGATTACATTGAAGGTAACAGCGCTAACCTTTTCTCTTGGTATCTTCTTTTTTCCACAGTCCTTGCATTGCATGGGAAACTTCAGACAGATCTCATCATGGGCCTGAAATGCATCGTATAGCAGAACGTCACTTTGTGTCCATTAATGCCAACAAAGAAGAAGAAAAACAAAAAACAGTGTATTTTAGTGTAGTCTCTTCATGTCCCACCTTTATCTCTTTGAAGTTGAAGGTCATTTTGCAGTATTTGCAGTTAAGAGTTCTTGCCTCGCATTCTCTCTCATTGTGTCTGTCCTTCTCCGTGAGAAGGATAAGGATTTGGCAGCCCTCGCACAGTATCCGCTCGAATTCACAGCGACCTTCATGCTGAGCCTGAAAATAACAGACATTTTTTGTTTGTTATTATTTTCGAACTGCCTGTTTGTTACGTGTAGAGCAGGTTTTCAGCATCGTGAAAGAGCAAACTGACAGTTGGGTCAAACCCTTCCCAATCACTGATAAATAACCGTGTTTAAATGCAGGTGTAGCTGCTCTGGTACAGGGTGTATCCTTAGCTTCTATGTGGAAAAACAAGTGTTTTTTTGTTTTGTTTTGTTCTTTAAAAAAAAACAAAAAACAAACACCTCCAACTGACAAAAAAAGTGAAAGTAAAAACACACTAGACTGGTTTGAGCATGAAAGAGATAACTACGGTTCTATGATTGCGCACATGATTGTGATCAAGATTATTTTGATATTTAGTTGTTTTTCATTGCAACCCCCATTAAAATATGCACTTTTCTTACTTTCGAATGACATGCTAAGCAAACGAAATTTAAACAAAAAGCGAGCTCCACAAACATCTGATAGAAAAAAAAAAGGATGAAAATGTACCACAGAAATAGAATTATAATGAAGAGAAGTACAAAAATAAAAAAGAGGAAATAGAATAATTAAAGAAATATATTTAAAGCTGTGTATTCGCCATTTAAAAATACCGGGAATCACACAGGCGGGGTGGAGCTTAAGGTGGGGTTAATCAACAGGGAAGTTGCCGTCTTTCAGAATGACTACTAAAGGCACGCTGCAGACCCAGAAGCAGAAGCTCAGGTACGTTAGCCTGTTTTTCGCTTTGACTGCTGACTTTCCAGACTTGCTACGCTCAAAAATCTTGAACCGGATCGCGTCAATAAAAATGACTCACATTTAGAAGATTCCTAATCTCATCCCTGTCCTCGGCACAACACTCCAACGCCTTGATGTGACTATTTTTTCCACAGCTTCAGAAGGCCTCGCTATGGGTGTGTGCGGCTAGCAATTTGTAGCTTTTCCCACACAGTGACAGTGACTAAGATCCCAGGCCAAAAATATTTGCAAAGTGGGTGTATCACACAGCATAATAATAGTTTGCGAAGCAACAATAAGAGATTGGCATGTTTTGATCTTTTGGTGTCTTCTTTTTTATTGTTTTTTTAATAAGAGGAAGATTCATCTGCGTGCTATTGCTTGGGATTTCATTTCCAATCCGTGCAAATCCCACACATTAGCCTAGCGTTTTCATTTAAACAGCATATCATTTTAACATTTCCCAGGTGAAAAACACACACACGCGCACATACATGCACACTCACAAAATTGATGTAGATTAGGTCACACTGGCACGCTTAGTTAAAACCACAAACAGACAAGAATTGTTGTAAACATCTTTTTCACAGTGTAAGCATCATGGTGCCATCTGCTTACTACACAAACTACGTAGCTCATCTACAACTGATGCTTACAGTAGAAACACAGCTGCAGACAGACACACACACACACACACACACAAGGCTCAGTCGAACACACACTAACCAGCTTTATTTACTTCACGTGTCTTTCATGCATTTTTACAAACTCCAGTCTGCGTTCAATGAAATCTGGGTTTCTGCTAAACTGAATGAATACAAGCAGTTTCCTTAACAGCTCTATAGTTTAATGGTCAGTAACCCAGTCACGCTAAGCTCAACAGGGTTGTTCCATTCTGGTACTTTCCACTGAGCTTTTGTTGATAAATGAGGAGAGGCTGGGACTTTCCAGCCGCCTGTTAAGTTTCACTTCCTGTTTGCAGCAACGCAGCACTTAGCGTACAGAGCGTGCTTGCTATGAAAGCTGAGGTTTTTTCAGGGAACACAGTGACCCGGGAACGCAGATTATAGGTCAGATTACCCTCTCACGTAGATTAATAAATACTGACAAGGCTCTTTTATGGTAGCGTAAACCTACACCCAGGTAAAAAGCAGCAATGCCCATGCCACAGGAAAAGACAGATTTCATACTTTACCTCATACTCTTTAATAGATCCAGTCCAGGTACAGCCCTGGTTCAAACACCTGGCTGGCAGGCTTGCTATTTCTCGGCCTGCTGCATTGTCTGGGAAAGCCTGTGAGGTGGGGGGTTGGGGGGAAGGGCAAAAACAAAGAGATCAGTGAACTCATAAAGCCTTCAATGTTCCCTGACTCTTAAAAGAAAGCAGACAAGAGTAGGATGCATTGATGCATTGTGTGGTTAGGGAAACCCCCGCCAGATTACAGTCATATTTTTTCCTCTAAAGGGCAGTAACATATCACATGCTGACTACTCCGAGCATAACAAAGATGGTGGATTTGAAACCTGAATACATATAAAGGCTTACCTCACTGCTGTTTAGAATGGAAATGGGTTCCTCGTATATCTCCTCTTGACGGCAGGCTTCACATGGCTTTGGGCCAGAACTACCAAACAAGACAGGTTTGTGACTTTACTGTAAAAGCAGCGGCTCGACGCCAACAGTCAGCAACAATTTCCTGCTGATCCAAAACTGGAGCAACTGCTGACCAGTGTGGATTACGGCTCGAGCAGATGAACGTTTAATCAATACAAGGGTAATGAAAAGAAGCTTGTAAGCATCATATCAGTGAGACAAGAAGAAAAAAAAAGTTGCTTTAGCAAGTTTGAAGGCGATTAAATAAATAACCAAAACACACACACAAGCATAAACAAAGGGCACGTGTGTGTGCGTCACATCACATGGTGAATTTATAACGTACATGATCTGGTTATTTTGAAACAAATAAAAGCACTCGGACAAATCACATGCGAAATCCACACATTTCACAATCGCTTGTGTTACTGTTGTGTAAATGTTTGGGGAATTAACAAAGAGTCTGGCGGTTTAAAAAAAAAAAGGTAAAATTCCACATTTTCTGTCACATTTTGTTTAAATGTTTACTTTTATTAAACATTAGATAACACATAACTGAAATGGACATCAACTAGAAATGAATTAGTGTATCCATGTATGTATCTGTAACGAATACACATCACAAATACTCGTTACAAATATGTTGGTGTGACACCTCTTTGTACTTGTAGTGAATATTCATTACAAATCCAGTGTTTTTCCTCATGTATTAGTTTTCGTTAATATTCATTACGATTACGCTGTAATGAATACATAAGGCAATGAAAACACTGGATTGGGTATTCATTACAAATACACCTCATGCATTAACAATCCACCAGTGTGTGAATGACTCAGAAGGTTTTAGAAAGAAGACCTTTAGAATGAATCAGCAACACCACATCCTTGTGATTCACAGACATCAGTATGACAGGTCCATCATGTGGGGCATGAGTCTGCATTAATAACTGATCTTGTCTGGACAAAACTGCCAGAGTTGAGGAAAGATGAGGAAAGGGTGTGCTGAAGCATGTCCAGTAAGATAGGAAGCATTAGGTGCGGGGTAAGCAGTTTGGTCTAAGGACCTCCAGTCTACCTGGTGAGCTGCTTGAAGCAGTGTACACAGAAGCGGTGGCCGCACTGAGCCTGGACAGGCTTCCTCAGGACCTGGAGACATTGCTGACATTTATATTTATTTTCCATGGGCACTGACAGGACACTGAGGGGAATCCCTGGTAAAGAGTTGGGACAGTCCAAAGAAATACGGGCCATTCTTCTCCATCAATCTGGTGCTATATCCTGTTAATGAGAACACAGAGAAACAGCTGTCAACAAACCAGGCAGGAACTAACTGCAAAGATGGAATATAAACTCAAACTAGCAGTGAATTACCCGCTGGCAAGCTTAACTATTTAAAAGATCACCATGAGAATCTGTGTGGCCCTCGAGGAAATATTTGTCCACGCTACTGTGTAAGTCTTGGCACAGCCAGTAATGCCACACAAAAAAAGAAAAGTATGGTAATAATATTGAAAAATATGGAAAACCCTGCTTAACACTGCAACGGCTGAAACAAGATCAGCAAGTCAAATGACTTGAAGACATAGGTACTTTTTCTTTTTGAGTTACCAGAAAAAGTCTTGTGATTGGTGGGATAAACATAACTGTGGGAGAAGCAGCATCAGGATATACAACCTAATCTATTTAAACACGTATCTAAACCCGTTTAAAAAAAATCCCCTGACAATTTTCTTTGTATGTCCAGCTTACAAATAGCTGAGTAACTTTAAACTGTAGAACTTTGTTGTACAGCATTTCCAGATAATAATCAGATAAGCATCTTTCTACTGAGAAATACTAGTGAAATATTTCTCACTTTAACGGGGTGTGAAATGCAAACACAGCATTTACACGAGCTTTGCTGATATCTTTTGTACTTCACAGAAAAAACGATGATGCCAGGCATCAGACAGCACAGCACATGTATTTTGGGTCTTTCCTTTAAATACTTTTCCTGCAATGTTGTCAACATTTCTCACCCTCCACAAATAGTTTCTGTTACCTTTGTTTCAGTTTCAAGCTCGCTTTAAAGCGTTAACACTAAAAGATCACTTAAGTCACGGTTTCTTACAGGAATGGCACTTATAGGGGTGCTGGCCACAGCTCCACCATGTGCTCAACTTGAGTAAGTTTAACTAAGTAATAGCGGGTACTGAAGGTTTGCGCAGTGAAACACAGTGGCATAAATTAAGGGATGAGAAAGACGCAGACCCTTTTTAAAATCGTTTTAACATTAGCTACTTAAGTCAAATTTACCATTAACCGTGTTTGCGCTCCTATCATCCTGTATGTTCTTTAAAGTTTAATGCATACAGAGTGGTGTGTAGTTATAATATTTATACGACCCCTTTGTTAAAATGCTAGGATGCTGTATAATCAGTTCATCTGTATATTGATGAAAATGGCACAAAGAAAATATATCAAATACTGAAATTGAGATTTTAAATGAATTGATGTCTCCAACATGTACAAAGGGTAGAGCAAAGGCATTTTTACCAGCGATTTACATTACGTTTTATTAATTTATAAGCATTCAGGGATCGAAAAGAGTCACTGAGTCGTTTTCTCACGCACTTATTATTTGGGTTTTACGATGCAGAAAATGTTTGTTATGTGTTGCATCCCACTGCTCTTTGCAGAATGTGGCTCAACTTGTGTGGGCAAAAAAGCTGTTTGGATAGCAGCATGTGTCACTCCAAAATCTACATGTCATTCAGAATTAATGGTGCCTTCCCTGGTGTGCACGTCACTCAAGCCACGATCACTAATACAAACGACTATACATACAAGCTAGATGGTGCCGTTTTTGTCTTTAACCTACAGGAGGCTCCATCCATAAATCCATTTATCCATTTTCTGAACTGGTTGTACAACCCGGGGTGAGTCAGGGTCAGTTTGCCACTTCATCACAGGACTCCATCCATGACTTCAAAAAGGAATTTCAAATTCTGGGCGGTTTTCCAATTCACCTTTTAAATGAGCTTTTGTGTAAAAAAGCTGGTGATGTTTCTGTTTCTTGTTTCCATAGTAAACTTTGTAAAAAAATTAAGTAATTATGCATAATTTGCAATTTGTGACAGCAGCAACAAACTGGATTCATTATTTGTTTCTGCAAGTATTTCTGAGACCGTGCAGCAATTTCCTGAGCTCCCTTGGACTGCCTTCATTTTTTAAAACCCCTGTAAAGCAGATAATGAAGTTATGCTTAAATTTTCCCAGGTAGTCTCTCACAGAGTTCCCAGTTCGTCTGCATCTTTACTTCTAAAAGACTAAGACCCAATTACACTGCTGCCTGTTTTCCAATTACCCCAATTAGATGTTTGATGCTTCACCAGATTACACAATTTGTGTCTTGACTTTTTCAAACCATGTTGCTGGCATCAAATTCACAATCAGCTCAACTTTAAAACAAAACTAAATTCTGTTCAACATGTAATATCTTTGCATTTTAAAATATAATGTCCAGCAAAAATGTCTTTCCAAACAGAAATTTTCCAATGTAATCAATAACTGGGCTTTACATGAATTCAATTTATAAATGCATTACCTTGAAGCTCCTTTTTGAAAATATATTCTACAAGTGGAAAAGGTATGCCAGTACCCTCTCTCTACATATATATATATATTATATTATTTTATACCTGGTTAAATTAAGGCACCAAATTTAGGAAACCCTCATGGTCTTTGGTTACAATACCTCCTTTAACTGTGTTCAGTATGTCTTAGAAATTATCAAGAGTTATATTCTGGCAATCAGAAGATTGTAAACATATTTTTTACATTTAAACAATATCTTTCCTCACTAATTCTAACTGTTTAAAATCATTCTTCCATTAAAGTACTTTATGGTAGGAAATCATTTTAGACTGAAATCTGTGAAGAAAAAAGGGAATAAAGAAAATGCCCAACTGGCAGAAAACTCACCCCACCTGGTTCACAGACACCAGAATATTATGCACTGTCTGCTTCCTAATCACTTATCACTGCCAGTAATCTGGCACAGTTCACCTCACGCTTCCTACATTTGTCTACCTCAGACTAAAACTACAGCATATAGTGGCAGTTATTTCACCCACTGCATAAAGAACAGCACCAGGGCTTATTTTGTCTTTGCAAATATCCCTTCTGTCACAAATTTCTGTAAATGTTTATTCTGTTGGCATTATGCAATTTATATATATGTGTGTGTGTGTGTGTGTGTGTGTGTGTGTATATAAAATTCCCTTATGAAAAAATGTGTGGGGAATGTCTAGTGTTTGTTTTTCCCATAACCAGCAGATGACAACTCTTACTGATATATTTCCACACACCCACTGCATGTGTAAGTGGGTTTTACAGGTGTATAAATTATATATAATACATGCCTGCATGTCAAAGAAAACTGCAAAGAATGTGGACAAAGTGCACCTTTGCATGTCACAACTTGAAAATATGCTTGTTTAAGGTTGTGGTGTTTGTAGGCTTAAGGTAATATGTTTTCAGTCTGGGAAAACTGTGTGCAAAAGCCACACAGCTTAACAGTGCTGTCTCACCATTCAACCATTTATGTTCTTAAGTCAAAGCAGGTCCTAAGGTGAACAGAACAACACCCATAAAGTAAATGTTAATGTTTAACTAAATGTGAATGATGTATGCAATTCCAACAAAACAGCTCAGCTTTTTCCCCACAAAGAAATAAAGTGGTAAATTCCAAATTGTGTCTACAAAACAGCACCAGTCCTGATGGTCACGAGTTTTCAATGAACTTTCTGCAGACATTGTCTCCAGGCAGAACATATCTGAATCTTGTTTTCGGTGGATTTTTCCTTAGACCAATTTAGATCCTTTTCAAACAAAGCAACTAACTTTCATGGGGGGAAGTAAGACCACACAGAAAGTGGATGTTGAATCAAAAGATAGATGCAAGGAAAACCCCTATGTTTTAATTTCAGTGGGAGTATTAACACTGAAACTGGAAATAGTTAATCCAACTCCAATACATCACTCAACAAATAAATAAACATAATATATGTAAATCCAAATACCCATAGCTAAAAAAAAGAAGCTTTGTGTCCTTCCTACAAACTCATCTACAAGAATTTAAGTTACAAACTTCCTTCCTTCAGTTAGATGAATCACATTACAGCCAAGATCAGCTTACTGTCTAAAGATCCAGCTTTTAGAGTTTCATTTCATTTTTATTTGAACTTTGCTTCACATAAATTTAACCTCTTAACTGTTACTTAAATCTTAGAAATTTCTAACAAAATGAAATACTTAGGCATCTTGTATGTGTATGTGTGTTTTAAATCTAGATTTCTGTTGAACCTTTATTTTTAGAGTTTTACTTATCTCACCCTGAACATATACTAATATATGATTTGAATACACTGTTAATAATTTTATATTAAGGCAGGAAACGCTGCTTTTCTTTGGAAGCTCTTTCTTCCTGCGTGTATTTATTTGAACGCAATTCAATTCTGCCACTCACCCCATTCACATTAAATCATGAGTAACTTTTCTGTTACTGGTATTGCATAAGACGTTCAAGCCTAACTTCATTCTTACAAAACTTAACTGAAAAGCTGTGGCAACCTGCTGTGAGCGAAAAGACATGTAAGCTCGTGTTTGGATGATGTTGTAATTACAACATCAATTCAGCGCGATCACTGGATCGCGTGGAAACTAGTCATAATTGTCAGAGAAACACACAATGAAACACTGTGCATTGAAATATCAGAAACAAGAATTTAAGTTATATAAAGGTAACACACACGAGGCCTACGTACAGCTAAACCTTGAAAAGTGACCTTTGTCATGTACAGCAGCATAAACCTTTCTGTGAAACGAACAAAACAGCCAGCAACAACGAAATAAAGCAACAACAACAACAACAACAAAAGAGTACAAAATTTCAGTCTCAACATTTCAACTTCTGTCTCAGACAAATAACCACAGCTGCTCTTTAAAGCTACACCCAACGTTGCTCAAAGCCTAAAAAACATCCTCTTCCTGGGGAGACTCGTCCTCTCAGCTCGCCATGTTATTTCCCTGCGTGTTAACGCTGAACTTCTGCGAGTTCAGTGTGAAAATGCAGGGTGCTTCAGACCCTTTCTCATACAAAAGCCCAAACCTGAATGTTTACTCACCGAGTTCGCAAAGACTGTCAGTGGATCTTACAGTCGTCACCACCACGGACACTATTTCACCTCGTAACTTAGCTACACCCTTAC